GAAAGAGTGAGAGATAGAATCGACATATGCACGCGAGTGTGATGAAACGCGTCGAATGTGTGTGTGCTAGAAATATTATGCAGATAAAATATTCATGGTTATCGGAACTCGGCGATCGAGACCGGCTTTATTTTCCGCGATGAATAGAAATGGTGCCACCCATGCCGCGCAATCCGTGAAACGCGATTCTTTCTTCTCCCCTCGACAATGACAAAAAAAGGCGCCGGATGGATTTGATATGCTATTATCTATGTGAGAATAATTATCGAAGCATTTATCGCGCTTTTGTGGTAAGAGATTATTGATAATTTTAAAAAATCGTCTTGATGAATAAGAATAATTGATTCTGTAAAGACAATTAAGTAATACCTGAAATAAAGCGTCAAAACTCATAAATTATAATCAATTCTCAGTCATTTTTCTTTTTCATGGGAAACGCAAGACTGCGCAAATGATTTGTGGAACTTAATAACGGCATGTCGGATTTAATTGCCATTTTTGTGCGTGGCCACGGCCGAAATGACTGCCGAGATTTGATTAAATTCCTAATTTGCGTGGGTGAAATTAACTCGGTCGCAGAAATATAAGTTTGCGGAATTAATTATCAAGGGGTCAAAACTCATTAAGGAACTATTGAAATTTTCATTAGAGTACAACATCTATATTTTATGGTAAATTAATCCCCTACCTGCATTTGAATGAAATTAATATTCTCTTAGAGTTTAAGTATGTCGAAATAGCAACAAATGCAAAATATAAATATATAACTTTAATAGAGAAGCAAAATAAAGGAAAGAAAATATGGCATTTGCAATCTGGAACATATTAAACATTTTCATTCTTTAAAAACGTTATTTTTGATAGTAAGAGAAAGGCTAATAAAAGATCTAGATTGCAGATATTAGTGCGTAAATATTTATGTCAATATATGTGATTGCTTCCGTAACGATCGCTTCAAACATTTCGATTCGCTTTGAATTCTCATTAATGGCAAACCATGTCGTCGTTATATATCACGGTTTAATACTCATATTGAATGGAACAAAATATACGGATTCGCGAAATATTTAGGAAGCTATCCATTGCAATATATATAAAAACATAGCAGACATAAAAGGACTATTTTAAAAAATACCGACCGTAAAATCAATTGAATTTTCTGGGATATCTCCGTTTTTATAATTGGTCGAAAATGAAATATGATTAAATTGCGCCTACGTTATGCGACGACTACGATGTAAGCCGGATGTGCTCGCAAAATAATTGGAAATATAATTGGACAAAAATACCGTACAGGTATAATAGCGGCGATGATACCGCGTGTGTCCCCCTTTTCTACTTTTATATCAACTCCCTCTTTCATTAAATTCAAAAATATTTCAAAGATTAAAATTCAATCACTCGAATGTTTAATATAACGCAGTCATAAAATAAATTCTAACTTCTTGCGCGATTAATCCCCATTGAGGCATCAAATTAAATTCAATTAAATTCGTATCGGTTTACCGCAAGCTTAAAATCACCGCTCGCCGTAAATAACTCGGCTGTTCTCTTGAAATAATTGAGTGTATAATTAACCAGATGTCTATACGTATAGATATACATACATACACGTGACTATTGCGTGACCGATGGAAATGACCATATAGTTCTCAGATTTAACTTCAATTAATTATCTTTTAATTAACTGTCTTGTCTGATAAAAAACTTAGTATTGTAGTTACAAAGATTTATTACATTTATGTCTGGCCTGCAAAATTCTGTATATTGCCACTTACAAAGTCTTCTGTCTAACGTTAATTTACGCATTCCACGAAAACGAGATAAGATAATGAAAAATAGTAGACGACAGTTGAAGTGAATAGTCACTGTCTTACATATACTCGTCTTTTAGATAATATCGCGTACAAAGGTTTCTAAGTTAATTACATCATGGCAGAAGACAATTGGATTTTGTAAAAAACGCCGGCAGCATGCAAATCGGTATAATAATGGAAACTGACGGGTAGAACATGGTCTGTATCTCTCAGTGTCTTCACCCCATTTCTATTTATATAATCGTATTCTCTTTATAAGAGCACACAAATGCGAGACCGTCATGGCTGGAACCAAATTATCCTCGTTATCACGTTATATAATTAGTTTCTCTTTGCGCTACTGCCAGAAATGTAGCCAGATGCGGTATAATACTTTAAGGATCGGAACGATATGTTTTGCACACTTGGCGTGCTCATTAAGAGCGGGCCGTTTGTGTGAGAAACTATAACTGTTTAATGTTAATTTAAGTGGTAATTAGATTTTGAAGATAAAGCAAAATAAAGCAAAAAGAAAAGATTGCATCTATTTATACTAGTATCTCATATATATACAAGTTCCAATGCACGTTTAGTGATGCACGTTTTGCAGCAATTACTGCACATAATATATTCAGCCATTAAACTTCTGCTAATATAGGTGCTGTCGTGCATGAACATTCCATTGAACTGCATAGTTTAATGCCACTATTGCCTAGTGACCTAGCAAAAATCGCTATTTAGTAAAGAAGCTACGGACAGTATTTGGCTGCGATTAGAGTGACGAGGAGACCGTTTATTATAACAGATGAATGATTATCCTTTATAATTATCACTTTAATACAAATATACGTATATATAATATATGTGTATGTATATATATATTGCTGTTAATACTGGAACCTCTATATTAAAGGCACCCACTTACGGTATCCGAGAGCCGTATAGTGATTATATAGCACCGGGGTGTGTGGTCGCGTTTAAGCAGCGGCTGACTTACAGAGCGTTATAGAGGTGTGCGCGTGCGCTGTGAGCCTTTGATTATGACCCGTCTGAGGAGAGTTTGAATCACGAGGAAGCGCGTAAGATGATATTCCTGAATGGAATGACCGGAAGTCGGAGCTATGCGCTATACCCGCATGAAGGGGGAGAACGCTATGGCTCCTTCACTTCGTGAGAGAGCTGCGTGCGGATACTGGCTAACCGGTTCACCTCCCACGTTAGGATAACGCCGTGTCCGGTCCTCGTCGCTGGTAATGAAATACAGTAACACAATATCCGCGATATACATTTGCGGTGTGCAGTTACACGCGATGAGTTACCCGGTCTTGCGAGCGCGACGGGCGACTAAGGGTATCGTGTGACATCTGGATTAATTCGGCCGCGCGGAAACCCGCGGACCGTGCGACGGTGTGTCGCAGGTTTCTTCGTGGGAATCGCCGGGAAAATTAATCATCGTTTCCGCCGCGACGGAAATTGCTTGGTTGCGGTCCGAGCAGCTTTTTCGTTCCGGGTAAATCGATCCCGTTAGCGTCCGGATTTGGCGACCCGTTTCCTCCTTGACGGCCTTCACCGTATGTTTTAATAAGCAGCCTACTTTCTTTGCGCGATTCATTAAGTTTATTGCAATTTTTTGCCTCTCGCTCTACTTTACTGTTTTTCTTCACGCGCTTTCCTCGCTTCTGCGAGTGATTTTTTTGTAGAGATACGCGTTATTTTCATAACTTGGATATTAATCAAATACTGTATGAGTATTTTTTTTTTTTTATTTCACTGCCGTCACGCAATTTCACAGTATATTTGAGCAATATTCACTTGTACGCAAACGACTGGCCATACGGAAGCGCCATAAAGCTAATGATCCCTAAGTGATCCGTACCACGGCGACATGATGACTGTTGTGCTAGGGAGGATGGGACTACAAGCGAATGGAATGGGATGGAACATCCCATCATTATTCAATGATCTACATCTCTTTACCTCTTTAGCTACGCAAAATACACCTCCATATGAACGCGTATAAAAAGTTTTACAGGACATTAAATCTCACAGACTTTATTGCCATTTTTTATCATTTGTTACGTTTTTTATTATGTCATATTTTTAAGCAAATAATTTACTATTTTACTAGTAATAAAAAATTGTGTATTATGTACAATCTTTTTAGTTCATTAATATAAAGTCAAATTTGTCTCGATTGCTATAAAATTAATAAATTTAATATATTCTTTGATAAGGTAAATAAATAAGTTTTAAATATTTTTCTCTAGAAAGATTATTATTAATACTAAATTTTCTAAGTGTTTGTCAATTAATTCAGAGTTGAAGATAAAAGTGACGTGGGAAAGAATGTGGTTGACAAAAAGTTGGAAAGAAATAGGACACAGTTAAAGTGATCTAAAAAAGATCGTATGCATTTAAAGTTACGGAGAAAAAACGAGCGGTACATTTTGTGTCTCACAAATCATAGTGTGACGGCGAAAAAAAGTTGTTGACTTGAGGCTTAATGGTTCTACAGCGTCAACAGAATTAATCAGAGAAAGAGAGAAATCTATGTAGCTGTCTAACATACGATAATTCAAACTAACATAAGGTTTAAAGAAATATTTATGGGATCCTAAATATGGAATAATTTTTTTCTATCCGAATGCATATATATTACAATATATATAATATATTTTTTTTAGATTCTTAAATAAATCTCTTATTTATCTAATTTTTTCTGTTAGCAAAAAATGGATTGGAAAAAACATTTTTCTCAAAAATTTTCAATTTTTGATGAATGTAGATGTATATTTATAAATTGTTACGATATTGATTCAATTAATTATTTCATAATAATTTCTTAAATAATTCTTTTTTAATATGTCACAATGGGGAAAACAAACTAATCCTTCCGCGAGTATGCGCGGCGAGATCAAACATCAAACACACGGAATCTCGCAACGAGAACGCGCCGATGCATCTCCATAAAACGAGCACGGGGCTGGTGAGTCCGTCAAAGCTTTGTTAAACTACACCGAACGCCCCACCGTGTTAACGTATCAGTATGTTTGGCGTCTAAACCACGAGGCACCGCAAGATCGGTACCGGCCATCCATCAAGCTCTATTCCCGCTCTGTACGGGATGACCACCTGTATCTCGCTAAACAAGATTTACTCCGCTATAGATCATCCCGCGTGATCGAGTGGCCCGTCTGTGTGCTCGACGAAAGAAACAATTAGTCGTCGGAAGATGATGGGCCAGCGTGCAACCCAAGAAAAGAAATGGATCACGTAATAGGGCATCGCGATGGTTTTGCCGGCTTAGCGCCACTTTTCGGGCTTCGACGTCGATTTATATATATATATATATATATATATGGGCCAGCGTGGAAAAGAAATGGATCACGTAATAGGGCATCGCGATGGTTTTGCCGGCTTAGCGCCACTTTTCGGGCTTCGACGTCGATTTGTCGATTTATATATATATATATATATATATATATATATATATATATCATTTGGCTATGTTCGACTT